CGCTGACGTAGGTGATAAGATTGTTGGGAGTAATATGACATGACTTTTTAAGGAGCTTGACATGCGATTTTTTATTCTGGTCGCGTTTAAGAGCTGTTTTACAAAGTTACTCAGTTTGAAAGGAGAATTTTTCTTTAGATCGCTAAATAGATAATCCAAATGCCTTAGTGAATTGTGTTCACATTTGTTGTTTGAGTCATTTTTACGGATAAAATTCAGTTACATTTCTTTTTGTTTGGTACTTTCTCGTTATTATTTCGCTCTGCTCTTTTGATTGTTTTAGTATTAATTATCTAAGTTGCTTTGTTAAAGAAAAATGTGTGCTAGTTTAGTTTTAGGTTCCTATGCTTTTTTTTCTTTGTCAGAGTGAGAATAAGAAATAGTATAAAATCATTTGAGATCATCGGTGTCTTATCGGAGCTTTATATTTCGGTTTACTATTTTGATATTGCTTCATATAACAAGTAATTTTTAAATTATATATATGTAATAACCTAATATCAATTAAAAATTCTAATCTTAAATTCCTTTTTTTATCTAAATTATATTTAATAACCCCCTGTTCCGAAACGTCAGTCTCCCTTCATTTCCTATTAAAGGATTAAAAACTTATGTTTTGACAAATTTATTTGTGATTGATTGTTAGAAAGGTTAGATCTTGAATTTTTTGACATATGTATTCGCGATTCCTAAAGCAAGAATATATTGATTTATACGTGACTTATATATATACTGAGCGAATGAAATTTTCCCCACTACAATTACGCAATTTATAAAGGTTGGTTAATATTTAACTTTTCTTGTTCATGGAATTATATTGTTTCTATTACATCTTTGTTTTTGTTATATATATATGTTTGAAAATGTATACAAGGGGTAATTGTTTCTCTTAATTTGTTTGGCGCATGAGCAGAGAGGATGTTGAAGTCTGCTGAATTTTCTATTTTGATCTTAAAATTACCTAAAACGTTGATCTAATACATCTCTCGAATTTTGAATTGTTACAGTTATATCTACAAAACGAATGCGTTTTGCATCATTCATATATAAAGAATAGAACATATATGTATGTAACAAGATCAAAATATATTTTAAAATTTAATGTTTTAGTTATTTGGAAGAAAACATATGTGTGTAACTTGCTCTTTTCTCTTCTCATTCTTTTTTTTAAAGAGGGGGAGGGTATGTTACCAGTGATGTACATAAGGTTGGTTTGGGGACTTAAAATCCCTCCCATGCACCAAGATTAATTTTTAGTATAAAGACTATGCCTCAGAAATACAAGTAATCTGTGTGTTACAGATTTTTCTATATTTTCGATAGAATGTATTTACACTTATATGTGTGTCTCCTACAATAAAAGATTATCATAATTTGACTGATATTCAGAAATACGATATTCGTCGATGATAGTGTACTCAACATAAACATAATTTCCTTTTCTTTTCCTTCAGATCAAATTACGCTTCAAGATTTATGACAACAAAAATGAATTTTACCATATAATTCCTGCTGCTACAAGATCAATTCTCCAAAACACTTTAGAGTAGTTTTTATTTAAAAACAAGCATACAGAGCACGAATTGTTTTGCCTTATTACACCCCCTCCCCCAAAAAAATCCTACAAGATTTCAAAATAAAAGTTTCAATGATGATTTCAAAAGGAAAATTTGTGTCTTGCATTTCACAACATTAATGGCATACAAGTATGATACAGTGGAAAAATTTCAACAAATTTTTCAAAGAATATGGTACATCAGTGCTTCTCAAAGTTTCCATATTCGCGATCCAGTATTCTGTCATTTTCATTGCGCCCCCCTCATACAATGACAACGTATTGAATTCAATAATAACGTACTTTCACGCTAAAACTACGATACGACTTTTTTCTCTTAAGTGCCATCACTTGTATAAACATCTCGCTAAGCAAACATGTTTATATATATATATATATTTTCCCGGACGTATACATATATCTTTCTGAAGATATATGTATACGTCCTTTCTGCTCATCTATCTTTTCTGCTCACTACTGACCATAAAATTTTTCCGAAGGCTTTGGAATGCAATAAAATGATCTTGACAATGTTTGAGAAAGATTTAATTATATCAGATTATTTGTTTCTTTATTCCTTACCCCACCCCACAATGCATCCCATACGCACGCCTACGTAGAAAACTGTTGGCATAGCGAAGCGGATTGCGTAACTTTCAATCGACAGTTAATGGATTAATTATTAACCGTACAAAGTATCAAGATAAGTTTTAATTTTTGTAAATAATTTTTTATTGACAATCAAATATTATTAAACTTGTTCTTAACTTAGTCTTGTTAAATTAATTGTAAAATAAATTGTGTAGCACTGATACATTTATAAGTGTAAATGTGTATTTTATTTTTTATTACGTCAGAATATAATTTATTTGTTTACTTTCAGTAAATTAATAATTTTTTTTAAAAAGTCTTCTGTTTTCAACTTTTTAATATGCTCGCCCACCCCCTTGTACAGTTGTTACGCCCCTCAAGGGGGTGCGCCCCACAGTTTGAGAAACACTGTGGTACATTCTCTACCAAATGTTCTTTACCACTCCAAAACAGAACCACTTTCAAAAATGAAGGCATAGTGAGATAAAGCTTTGAATCTATGAGACAAATATAAAAACTTTTTATAAAAATAATTAAGAATTTTAACTACCCGATTTAACCACACCATACAACCACAGACGAAAACTAAATTGAACTCGGTGGCTTAAACAGCCCATAAGGGCCAAGATCTACTGTGCCCATCCCAGTTTTCATGACTTTGGGCACTGAGGTGCATGAGCAGATGCTCCGGTCAGGTAGTGAATCTGACATGAAACCCCCAGTGTTTAGTTCCCAAGCAACCTTGGTACTCATTTATCGATCCACAGATAAACTGACTTTTATTCTAAGACTGCACACATTTTTTTAGTGAATTATATAAAGGGCCAGCCCCAAAACTTGGTTGTTAATTTTCTATGTCATTTTATTAACATTATTATTAGAAAAAATATAAAAGTTGCATTGCGTGTAATTGCACTAATCTCGTAATTCTCCCTCGAATTTTGAATATGCAAACACTAACGCTTGCAATTTTTTTGACCAAGTGATTCTTAGTTTTCGATTTGTAAAGGTTCATGAAACAATGTCTCTATTCCCAAATATATCTTGACTTAAAAAGATTTAAAGTACGCTATATATTGAGTAACGACTTATTATTACTGTAACCAATAAGAAATATTTATATGTTCAAAAGTTATCGTTATTAAAATTATTTCCCCAGTCTCCCGCATCTAAAAAATATTGTCACAGATGAAACGAAGTCCGTATAATGAGGACACACACGCGATGATGTAATCAATTAAAAAAAATAAATAAATAATGGGCTGTATGTGTTTTTCTGGTATGGTTTGTACATACCTGTTTTAAAAATAATATTAATTCAATTCGGTTATTTCCATATCATATTTGATTCGGTCAGCATTATATATAAATATAATATAAACATAAACTGTTGAGCAGATGGCACTTGTTCAGATAAACATATACCGCCTTTAGCGTGTTGGAACCCAATTTTTAAGAGCAAAAGTCTGTGCTAAAAAAAATGGCTTGTGGTTTTAAATGGATTTTTGTGGTTAATTCTTTACTTCCACCCAACTCTGAGAAAGGGAGGAATAAAAAAGATTAATTAAAAAGTTTTAGTTCATTAGGAGGAGAAAAGATTAAAAAAGATTTCTTGCACTCCACCTTAATGGTAACAGTTAGGTAAGTTAAATAATTGTCACGTGTAATGTAAAAGAATCCTTGGTGGGATCCAAGTGAATGGATCATGGAGAAGGAGATCTAACTTAGAACCACAAAGTTTACAAACAGCCTGATATTGTGAAATTTGCCAAATTACAGAGACTTCAATGGGCTGGTCATCTGGCTAGAATGAATGAAGATCGTTGCTACAAGAAAATCTTTCTGGCAAAGCCCATGGAAAGTAGACCACGGGGCAGACTCTGTTCAGATGGATTGACTGTGTCGAAAAAGACCTAAATATTTTAAAAAGTCAAACACTGGAAAACAGTTGCCAAAAGTAGAGATGCATGGAAAAAACTTCTGGAGAAGGCCAGGGCCCACCCACGGCTGTCGAGCCATTGAAAAAGAATATAAAAGAAACTGTAAATTTTGCCAAATTTTTACTAATTAAAGAAAGGAGTACGTAACTTATTAGAGGAAATTGATAATTCTATTTTTGTATTATCAGAAGTAGGCTCTTGGATCTCTCTCTCTCTCTCTCACCCACACTTTATATACTTCATAAATTTATCTTAAATCAGAAGCAGAAATGAAATGATACGATAAATAAAAAAAATCCATGGAAAAATTCCACCGCAGATTTAATTCATCACTTAAAAAAGTGTATGAGCAATATTTTTTTAGGAAAGCAATAATTGCACAAAGCTTCCATTGGAGTGTTTCTATATCTGGAAGTAACTTAACTTTATCTATCGATTTTTGAGAAGCTTATAGTAAAATATAGCAAACAAGAAAATAAAATAAAAATGGAAGTAATTTTGCCACGGTAATATATTAGCAAACTCTTGGGATAAGGGTTAAAAAATTTTAAAGAATTGGCCTCTCTCTTTCCTTTATTTGCTTAAATAATTGGGATGAAAATAAAATTTAGGAGAAACACAAGTAATATAAAAAAAAATTAAGTCCCTTCCTACTTAGGTCAACAAAGAAAAATTTTATTTTAGTTACTTTTTATTAAATAATTAAATTAATATAAATATGTATACACATACGACAGAATCACAATATTAAGTGCCAGAATAAAAAGCGATTTTCCTTGCAATTTTCCATTTTTCTTTCTTTGTATCGTGTTAGACCGTTTTTGTTTGTGTGTTACTATCTATTCATTAATTAAATTTAATTATTCGAATAAAATAGTATAGTAAAAAGGAAATCACTTTCTCAGAAATTAGGCCATCCCAGGTGGGACTCGAACCCGCGACCTCGGGATTAGAAGTCCAACACGCTATTCATTGCGCTACAGGGACACGAAGAATGTTCTTCCTTTCTTTGTATGCTGTTGCACTAATATTTTTTATTTATTGCTATTTATTCATTTTTTAAATTTAATTAATTAATTAATATTTGAAAAAATTGTTCTAACATCAAGTGTCATCCATTACAAGTTTAAGTAAAATTATTTGAACTGGAATGGATGAATAGAAAGTACCTTATTAACGATTGAAAATTTGAACAAGATATATATATATATATAGTGAGAGAATGAACTATTAGTAGGAATTGAAAAATACGGTTATAGTATTGATTTTTGGTACTTACGTATTATCGCAACAATCGCCAACTCTATCAATAACTTTCCAAGTTGGCTACCCCGATTTTCTACATGTCGTACGCGCTGAACTGGCAACCAAGTGCTTCGTTTCATATAATGTCGCCAATAGGTTGCAATAATACTCCGAACTACCAATTTTTTTAAAATTGTTTTTTAAAATTAAATTGTAATAAGTTTAAAGAAACCACACACACAGAGAGAGAGAGAGAGAGAGAGAGAGAGAGAAAGAGAAAAGAACCAATACGAAGAAAATTACAATGCTGCTTATAAGGTATACCTGATTACAAATAAACTTTTTAGTATAATTAACAACACGTACTACACGAAAGTAATGTATGTAATTTAAAAAGAATTTTTTTAAAAAAGAAATTGTGACAGTCAAAATTTAAAATATTGTTGCATAATCAGTATTATCTGAACATGTTAATTGATAATAACATGTATGATTAATGCAAGTAAATAATAAATAATAGAGAATGCAAATTAAATCAAACTAACATTAAACTTATTATAAATGTTTGACTTAAGAAATTTAACAAGTAATCATGTTTTAAACTATCTGATACATTTTTAAAAAAGTTATTGATTTTTATCACTTTATTAACTATAACTAACTACGCGACAAATAATTAATATAATTAAGTAAGTAATATAAGTAATATATGCCAGCTGTGTGTGGATGGTGTAGTTAGTTTGTCGCTGGCCTTCTGTACCCAAGGTTGTGGGTTCGATCCCCGGCTTAAGTCGGTGGATTTTCCTGGTGCAGAAAATCGACAACGGCCATGTCGGATGATTATACGGCATGAAAAAGATCCCTTGAGCGTCTATTTGGCTTGGAAGCTCTCGGTAAAATTAAATTCCTAAGTACAAATTTTGCATCGGCGGAGCTCAGGTGCCTTCTTCTGAGGAAGAAACTGGGTGTCAAAATTACTTGTGGTAATTGGTATCGCCTAAATATATAGTGCCGCACTCAAAAGGGATACCAGCTTCTGGGGAATGTACTAGGTCTGCAAAGGTAGAAATACAAATATACACAGCCCCATTACAGGGGAAAAAATAAGTTAAGTAATATATTTCTATAAGTTAATACATAAATAATATACTATTTTAAAATGGAAAACTTCAAAAGTGTTGAAATTAAAAGTATCCTTTTTATTACAATATATTGTTATTTATGATCTGTACAAATAATTTGTCTGCGTTGAAGCACAAAAACGGAAATACCCAGAGGCATGAAATTTAATACATTTAAACCGTGGATCATAATCGCTTGCATCTTGATGATATTTCTTCGAAATTCACTTTAAAAATTTTTAATGTGCAATTTTTATTCGATATTTTCAGTAGTTCTAGTGATATGACATCTATCTTTGAATGCAATTCATCGTGCAGTTTTTCAGTCATTACGTATTTTCCTTATTATATTTATTTACCTCGATATATTCATTCATTTACTTATTCTTTCTGGCAGAATTAAAACTATTGTCGAATAAATGATCATTAAAAAATATTCCTTCAACAGTTTTATTTTGGTTTTGACAACAGGGTGTGGGTATGTGTATATTTCTGCTTTTGCATTTTGAATATAATTCGATAAAAACTAAGCCTATTTTATTTTGTTTTTATCAATAATTGCAAGTTGTAAATTTTGGTTTGATTTATCTGTTCTAAACAGATTTTAATACAGTTATATATTAGTATTAAAATTTATTTTTCAATTTATGCCTTCACGCTTTTAATATCAGTTTGATCAAATCTAAGTCTATTTGGTCTGTTTCAGGATGCTTTTGATTCCAATTTATTGAGCAATGTTGTAATTTACTTTTAGGTTTAATTTTACGGTAAATTTATTTGAAAAATTATATTAGTTTTTAAATTAATTTTTTTATTTATTCACAAATTTAAAACATACATTTTTTCACATATGTTACTTTGTATAATCGAATCCTACGTTTAGGCCACTACTTTATTTGTCGCCATATTGAATGGAAGCCTAATACCGAAAAACGATCCGTTCACGCAATGTGAGTTCATTTTTGTTTTTTCCTCTGCTGTTAAAAGAGTGGATTAAGTTAGGATTTCTTTTTTATTTGTTGCATTTTTTATCAATGTTAGGCCTACTTCATTAGCACTTATTGGCTATAGAAACCATGAAACCAAACATAGTAACACATTGAAAAACACGCCAAGCTCAACCCCGTTATTGTATTTGTAGAAAATCTCTCTCTCTCTCTCTCTCTATTTCTCTCTCGCTGGCGAGAACTTGGGAAAGTGGTCGCTAACTTATGGTCCCTATATTCGATAAGTGCTATTTTATCTGTTTTAAATAGTTAAGTGTAGATTAGGGCGGGAGGGGTTTTTTGCGATGTAAATTTCTTTTGGCGAACGAAATCGTTCGCCAAGCTACTTCATTTAGTGATAGGTGCTTTTGTAGACCAGATTCGATAGCCAAACTATCCATGACATCAAGATAAAAATCGCCAAATCCAAAGCCCCCAATCCACACCTTAACCATTTTTTATCTTAAATTAATGTTGTAATTATTTTTTCAGCAGCTTCATACTTATTGATTTTTGATGATTATTTCATAAACTGCACTGTCACTTACTACTGTGTGATTTGTAATAGTCAATATTAATTCTTTAGATGTCTACATGGTTTGTTTAGTGTATATTAATAAAATACAGTTTGTGGAGAAGCAGCTCACAGCGCAAAGACGGAAAGGACCAGACGTACGAAATTCATTACGTTGAAGCTATGAGTGATTAATGGTGCGCTACTCGGAGATTAATTTTCAAAATTTGCTTTATCTTTTTAACACCCTTTAATAAGCTTCATTTGTATGTAACGCGGGATCTTTGAACTCAATTTTTACCCACTTTATAAGGTCAGATTAATTCGAAATTTTACTCACCTTTCCAGGACTGATGCCAATATAATAATTTAAATTTTTTGTTCCATTGTCCTAATCAGGATCATCAGGATTAGCGATTTCCCGTTTTCAGATCCCATACCACATCTGGCGACTAATTTCAGATCTCATTTCCAGATTTGGTGACTAAAAGATTGTTACAACTATAAAAGGGTGTTTTTTAAATTTTTTAAACTATTTTATTTAAATTAAATGTTGAAGTAATTTCAGTTCTTTTTTCCTTAAGGCTTTTAAGCGAAGCATTATAAAATTACGATTCTTACTCTATATGAGTGATTTCAATTTTTAAATTATGACCCAGTTCGCTTGATGCACGTTAGCTATAATTAGCCAACATTAGGCATTTTTTTTAAGAAAATGGTACCAAAATGCGTCAATAGACATTAAAAAAAATTTAAAAATTTTTAAAGTCAATCAAATTAATCAATCCAAAAAATTCGAAATATATGCGTTATGTGGGATGAACATTTTACCTTTTAAAAAGAGATCGAAATGGGGATATATAAATTTGCAGATTTTATACAAATTTTTAATAACATGATCAGTAAATAAGTTTTGGAATTTTTCATTCTTAATGGAGAGGGAAAAGACGCTTCGCATGGTCTTGGTTCACATTTCGTCGTATGGCATCGATTTATGAAAAGAATTATGGTTTTGGAAATTCTTATTTAGATTAGGGCTATACCATTATTTACAAATAATGACGTGATTACTAAGCATCTTATCTATGTTGGTTGACAATAATAAAATATTCAAGTAATTCTAAAATAATATTTCTAATATTCATATAAGTGACATAATTAGTTTTATATTTTTAAATTTCACAAGATCTTGATATTCTTCAAAAGCCTCTAAAGGTAATAAGTATTTAACAACAGATTTTGCAATAAGATAAATTTAATCTCCATTAATCTGTCGTTGATTATATCTAGTAAAAATAAAACTATTAACTTATAGCGCGTACATTTTATATATTATAGACATTAGAAGACATTTTCTTTTATAATTTAAAAATTTCCTCTAAATCATGCTGCCGAGGCTAATGAATAAATTCCTTAAATTTGAACCGTTTACCCTCTTACCTACTTTGAAGAACTAACCCTTTCTTGTAAACATAGATTAACTTAATTATTTTTTGTTATATTTCACAGCATTTTAAATATTTTTAACTGGTAAAGGAGATAAAAATATTAGCAAAATTAACATTGTTCTCAATATATCAACGAGTATATATTCATAAAAAGAAAAGCACAATATCCAGTCTCATAAAAAAATAATTTTTTTGACTCTATTATTAAATTTATATTATACGTAAGCGGTTATTTTATTTAACGTTTGGTGAATAGTTTGACATTCAAGAAAATATAAGAGAGAAAATTTGACGAAAACTGTTTCGATAGAAACGACAGTTATTGGATTTCATTCTTGTCTGAAACTTTAATTTCCTGCTTCATTTTGAAGTAGAGGTAATGGCACTTATGTCAACTGTGAATTCAAAAACAGAATTCGCATTAATTTCTTTGAACCGAAATTAATTTGAATTTCTACGCGAAAATACCGTACGTGTTACTTAAATTTCTTATGATTTTAGAATTATTTGAAAAGTATTCGGTATATTATCATCATGAGAATATTTGAATTCAAAAACGAAGAATTTAAATTAAAATCTATTTCATTCACTCTGTCTTCCTAGTTTTTCTTAAATAATATAAAAAAATTTCGAAATGATGAGAATGGAAAACTCCTTGACGTTTTTTACGATG